AGAATCTAGGATAAGTTTAATTGGGAAGCAACTTCTAAAACAACTGCTTGATAACAAGACCCACCTCTATCTGCCTGACCTCAGGCTGCCCTTCCTCTTCTCCTGAAAGGGCACTGCTTCCTGGCCCTACAGGGTCCCGGCTTGCCAGGCCATGCAGCAAGGCCAGGGGAGAGCTAGCAAGGATCTCAGTGGCATGTCTTGGCTTTGTTCCCTCCCAGCCACACCCAGAGCCTTGTCCAGCAATCATTTTATGCTGGACATGGCCCTCAGCCTCCTGTGTCCATCCCTGGCCCTCAGATCCTACCCTGGCCCTCGTGTCCAGTCTCGTATACTCCAATTGCCTTCTTCTTGTTTCCTCCTGAAGACTATGTGTTATTTGAGGATCATTCCAGCATCTGAATGCCCTAGTGGAGTTTCCCCTCATGCCCCTGCCTTTCTGAGCAGCTCAAGCGCTGGATCAGCAGAATCCATTCTTCATCCTGGAGCAAGACCCTGCAGGTAGAGTGCCAAGGCCTTGTGCTTGCATATCCTGGCACATTCCCATTCGCAAGGTGAGAAAAATGAGCCTGGACAGGACTATGACCAAGCAAATAACTTGAATCAGCCTCTTGATGAAAAAGTGAGAAAATGTTCTGACTTAAATATAAAGCATCCTCCAAACACGCATGTACTGAAGAAGCTAGTCACATCAGAGAATTAGACTGAAGAGTTCATAGCTGAATATGCCGCTGGAAGATGGGGCCTGGTTGGAGGAGATGGGTCACTGGCAGTGTGATATGAGAAGTATATTCTTGTCACCAGACTCCTCCTTTCTTGCTCCTTCTTTCCTATCCTCTGCCCTTTCTGGCTGCCATAAACTGAGCAACTTTCTTCCAACATCCATTTCTACCTTGGAGCCCACTAATCATGGACTGAAACCCCCGAACCCACAAGACAAAGTAAACCTTCCACTTTACAATGACTATGTCAGGTGTTTCATCCCAGCAGCAGAAACCTGGATGTTCATGGGGGGCGGGAGATCTGTTGAACAGACTATAGAATTCACACATTATGGACAATTTTGTAGTTATAAAAAGGAGGAAGTCAACTTCTAGGTATCATCACGGTGATTTGCCAGATCTGTCGTTCACTGCAAAAGCAAAGGGCAAAACTTATGTAGGTGTAAGAGAGTGACAATTTAAAAAGAAAGAAACCAAGAGAAGGCAAATCAGAACTGTTGATATTGTGTACTTTTGAGTGTGGAAATGGAAGAGCCGGATGGACGGGACAGGGTGACATTGATTCTGTCTCTTCTCTGAGTATACTTTGGATAGTGCCTAGTTTTGCACCCTTTGACACTATTCCACATGCACAAGGTATAAGAGATGGAAAAGTGCAGTGAGCAAGCTGACAAATGAGTAAACTCCTACCTACTAGTGGTTCTTCCTTATTTTCCTAAATAAGACACAGCATATGGACAAAACTTTGTCATGAGAACCCTGGAAACTGATGAAGAAGCTCTAGCAATTAAGTGAATGCTCAGTCAAGAAAACGTCACTCCCAAACAGGTAGGCAACGTCGTGACATTCTGCTTGGCTTCATTTTCCCTCTCCTCAGCACAGTACAGCATAGTATGGAGGAAATCAGGCAGTCCTAGTTTCTCTGTTGCTATGAAAGCAAAAGGGAAGAGCTGTCTAGTCATTTCCTGGATTTATGAACATTTTCCCAGGCTTGGATTTTGTCTCCCTGTCTCAGAGTGCTGACGGAGCAGAAGCGTCTTCTGTCTGTAAGGCCCGAGGCCCCTGAGGTCAGCGGTGGGCTCCACCTCATTGTGGAGAAATAGGAAGCCTATGGGCCTGTAAGTGCGTGAAAGCGGGATTATATACAGAAGAGTAAGAAGAAACCCAGGGCTTTGGAAATGAAGCAGTGATGTGCCTCTCAGGAAAACAAATATCTTGAAAAGTAGCAGTAATCTGAGGAGCCGGAGTAATGCACAATACATACTCGAGAAAGACACATTCCCATAAAGGGTCTGAGAGGACCCTGGTCCTGCGGTGAAGGCTTTCTCCCTGACTCGTGAAGATTTTCTCTCTTTATGAAGTCAGTTCATGCAGACTTGGAGAGGTGTCAAATTTTGCCAGTGCCAGAATTCTATACAAGACCAAAGGTCACTCAAAGAAAAAGGAAATCTTAGTTCTTCTAAGGAAAATTCATCTCCAGTAACAAATCCCAAAGAAACTCAGGCCCCTGATATACTTGATAATGAATTGGGGACTGTGCTTAATGTACTTTATGTGTGAAAAGGGAACACCAACTGAAAACTTTTGAAAATGAGGAAAGAAGTGATGAATAAAACAGGAATGTGAGGCAGTGGATACGATTGGGTCCTTAGACAAAGAAGAGAGAAAAGAGCAGGGAGTTCATTTGAAAACAGAATGACTGAGAATTTCCCAAACCGGCAGTAAGAAAAGGACGTGGGAACGCAAGAAGTTCAGAGAACTGCAGAGAGGATAAATTAAAAAGACCTCGATGAGATGCATTGTCATCAAAGTATCAAATTCAGAGACTCTTAAAACAGCAGGAGGAAATAATCAGTACATTTCTCAGGAGAAACCTTGGCAGGCTGAAGGCAGCGGATTTACCTAAAGTCCTGAAGTACAAAGCGATCCAGTAAGAATACTGACAGAGTTTGGTTTGTTAACATCCAAGGACCACGTGGTACGGGCTTGCTCCCCAGGGTGATGATATTGGGAGGTGGTGGCCTATTAAGAGGCGGGACCCATTTTGAGGATATGCTTCTTAGTGAAATAAATAAGGCACACATATGCAAATACCGAATAGTATCTCTGGTGTGAAAAACTAAAATAGTACTCAAGATCCTAATGGGACACTTAGCAAATAGGAAGAAAAGGACCAAAGGTGTACGGACAGTGAGAAGGATAGGGAAGGGGGAATAAGGGAAAAGGAAAAAAATATGAGAAAATGTAAAAATGGAATTAAAGTGTTTGAAGGGGGGAGGGGAGGGGACCGTGAAGGGAGGTGGGGACAAGGGGAAAAAATGAGAATGAAGACCTGGCATGCAACGGGACAAGATCCCAGTAATGAATGTAACTGCACTGTCTACCTAGAATGGGCCAATAAATTCAATTAAAAAAAAAAAAAGAGGCGGCACCCAAGGGAAGCACTGGGGAAGAGGATGGGCCCTTGAATGACACCCAGAGGCCCCAGCCCCTTCCACTTTCTCTCTTTCTCTTTCAGGCCATGAGATGAGGACTTTGCTCCACCACACAAGTCTGCCACGAAGTGCTGCCTCACACACATAAAAGCAATAGGGCCGGTCAAGGTTGGGCTAGAACCCCTGAAACCATGAGCCAAAAACAAAGACCCTTTCACTCTGTAAGTTTATTAGCTCAGGTATTTGCTAAAGCGATAGAAACCTAACATAAATACCAAGGCCAGAGGAGCTATGCAGCTTGCTCTTTCCCTGCACTTGCCTGTGAGGACATTCCCGCTAGCACAGGGAGCGCGTCCACAGCAGTTTCTCACTTCTTTAACACCTGTACAGTAGTCCATGGTCTGAAAGTGCCATAGTTTAAATAGCCTCTGTTAGGAAGCACTTGTGCTGTCTGAATGGTGTCTGAATTGTTGAGATTCTCTCCCAGAGCACAGATCCTCAAAAACCTAGCGTCAGAGAGCAAAAAGAGCTGGAGAGGATTTCATGGGCATCCACACACAGGCCAAGCTGTCTTGCTTGCATCTCATCTTCAAGTGGAGGAGCCCAGGCAGGGAGGCTCCTGAGAGCTGCTGCCTGCTCCAGAGCGGTCTCTACAGCCACTCATGACTATGATCCTGAACCCAAGCAGAAGAAGCACTTGCAAGGGACCGCGAGTCCCCTCGTAATGGGACGGATGGCACAAACCCAAGGAGCAGAGGGACCCTGGCTCTGAACAGACTGAAGCCCTGTGGCCAAGTAAGGATGACAGATACAGAAGTGAGCTATCACAGGGACAAAGAATGAACCCACCAGGAGCAAAAGTGCAGCTGAAGGGCCAGAGGTAGAGCAGTAAGCTATGTGGGTAGAGTCAGCTCTACATTTGACCACTCAGGCTAGACAAGTCAGAGGAAACCAAGGTCCCCGCACTTCTCCATCAGAATCAGCAGGTTGTGGCATGACAGGACTGAGGCTGGGACTGGCAAGGAGATAAACCAGGGCCAAGTGAGGGAAGCAGGGCCTCTGCTCTGCGGTCCAAGGAGGAGAACCCTGCCCAGGGGTGCCTACTCAGTCCCGTCTTCCAGTCACCAGGCTGGCATGACAGGGACCCCAGGTGAGCACACTCAGGATTGCAGCTCTCCTCCTGAGAGTTGCTGGGGCTGTGAGGGAAGAACCTGGTGGGGGGAGGCAAAGTGGCCCCCAGTACAGGGCAGCCCCCGGGAGCCAAGGCTCCAGAGGAAGGAGGTTGTGCTCTCTTATGGCTGGCCTGCCCATCAGCCAGTAGCCTAGGGGACAGGAGGTCAAGGTGAGGTCAGAGAACTTCTCCCAAAGCAGGGAAAGGTCAGAATGCCCAGAGCAGAGATCACAGGCAGGCCACTCCTTCCTGAAGAAGCACATGGCTCAGACACAGAGTCCCAGGCAATGAGCAAGGCAACACCCTTGCAGGGGAAGCTGGAGTGAGAAGCTGGAAAACAAAGCTCCGAGTGCTGAAGAGACTGGCCAGGGCCTGGAGAAGGCACCTTCTGAAGGTGGGGCTCAGGGACTGCACCTGACCTCGAGGTGCTGGGGGTGGGAGGGAAGGGGCCATGTGGGGGAGGGGCCCTGTGGAAGAGAGAAAGTTCTCCAGGACATGAAATTGCAAGGCTTCCCCTCTTCTCTCTGCCTACGCTACACCTGTTCACTAAAACTTTCCTCACATTTGCGTGCCTGGCTACCAGGGCTGGAACAGGGCACTGGTGTGCTGAGGGCCCAGATTCTGAAGGGGGGAGGGGCGACCTTTCAACGGAAGTTTCCAGGAGGGGGAGGGGCGACTCCCGGGGAAGATTCCAGAAGGGCAAAGGGCTGGCCCTGAAGTCACTTCCGTAACGCAGGGACAGGCGGCCCCCAGGAAGGTTCAAGAAGGGCTGATGGCGACTCCCTCGGGAAGGGTCCACAAGGTAGGGGCAAAGAACTCTAGCGGAACATTTCCACAAGGTGGAGACAGGGGAGCCCCGTGGGAAGCTTCACGGAGGTGGGACGGCTGGCGTGGGCCTAGCAGCCCAGTGTGCCAGGACAGGGCTGCCAGCAACCTCAGCAGCATGCAGTCTGTGCTAACCGAGGGTTCCCGGTTAGGAGGCCACTTCAAAGCTGCAAATGCGGGTGTCCCTCAGTCCATGGGTCCCCACTCGCGTCGCGGGGACGCCCTCATCCCGGAAACTCCTCATCACGTCGACTTTCTTTAGCCTGTGAACCCTGGTCGGGAAGACCCCTTGTTATAGACACTCCTGGTACTATAACAACCCCACCTCTTGCTCAGCTCTCTCCTCGCACCCCTCACCCCACAAATCTATAGTCTCTCTTCCCTGAAACCCTTTCAAGTCCTCGAGAATCCGCATCCCAAATAGTCCTTTCCTCCCTAGGGCCCTGCCAAGGTTTCTCCGTTTCCCCTGATCTTGAGCCTCTCGCCTTAACCCTCTGCCCTAGGTCACAGACCCCTCTCTTTAGGGCTCAAGGACACCCTTAGTGCTCAAGGACACCTCGTCCCCGCCTGCCTCCAACACACAAATTAACCTCCTCACCACCTGGCTCTAACCATCCCCCCCAGCTGCCCAGTCCTTAGCCTCCCAAGCTTGCAGTGTCTTAACAGCTGCCTTGATATCTCCCTGTTGCTTCCTGGGCCTTCATGTAGGTCAGTTTCTGACTGGCTTGAAGTGGGAACTGGAAACACCACACTGTCCACCTCCTCTCTAATTGTGCCTTGAGGTCCCTCCTGTGCATTTTAGGATCTTTCAGACTCCATATGCCAGCTTTCCATCAGTCCTATTTTTATCACCATTCTGTCTAAAGTAGTTGTCATTTCTACTGAGAAGCTTCTGGGGGCCACCTATTATTTGGAAGTATATCTTAAATTAGAGCCCTGAGGAGTTCCTCATCTGTAGTTTCCCTTTGCTGACTTGATATCTGGCTTAAGGTCACTATAGACAGAAAATGCATTCTTTAGTTTCAAAGTTTACTTTCTGCTCTGAAACAGCCCCTCTCTTACCTTCTTGCCAACAAACAAACAAACAAACAAACAAACAAAAAACTGGCCTGGAAGTTTGCACAAATGAAACTACATCACAGCTCCTGCCTTTCCATTCCATAGACTCCTGAGCTTTGCGTTATGCTTATGTTAGGTTTTCTTTCTCGAGATGTTGTAAACTTACCCCTCCAACATTCCTAGATTCTTATGGCTTGTCTACAAGCAACCATATTTGCCAGCACTTTTGCCAGATATTGTTTTCACTTGGCCTTGATTTTTGAAGTGAATTTTCACTTCTGGAAAAAGGAATGCTTCCTTGCCAATTCCTTCTTTCTTCCCTGGTTTTATCTTTTTCATTGTTTGTGTGAAAGGATGACTGGCACTTCCATTGTTGCTATGGCAAACTTTCTCTTTTGCCGTCTTCATGCTGCCTCTCAGAGTTTCATGTTACTTTTCTTTCTTTTTTGTCTGGAGGGCCTCTGGAGTGAGCTACATCCTCTGCCTTCTTTAGTCTTTGAGACAGGGTGCTGCTGTGCTGCTGAAGCTGGGCTCATACATCTGGGTGCCACCATTACAGATGTGTGCTTCCCTGCCTTCCTCGATTTCCACTTTTTGCAGGTGGTTGTCACTGATTTAACTGTGACACATCTCAGAGTTGTTTTCCTTACACTGGTTCTGTACCTGAGTGGAGGAGGGCCCTAGAGGAGGGCAGGTTAGGGAAGACTCCTTGATTGTTGATATTGGGGGAACGAAGCTGGAGTAAGGAGCCATGATCTCGCTGATGGGTCTCTTACCTCTAGGCGGCTGTACCTGTAGGAATGATGCTCCCCTTGGCCTTCCTCCTCATCGCAGGAATCCCACTGGTAGAAACTAATGTCACCAAGGCTCCTCAAAGATGTGAGTATCATTCAAGACTCTCACTGTCTTGGGCAAGATTTCAACTCACCTGAAATTGATAAGAGTCATTGGATGTCTTGGGCAGAAATTGGATCATCCAAGTCCGATGGAGTTTGCATTGCCCCTGCAATCAGGAGCCACAGGTCATTTTGGAGTGTGTTCATAAGCAGGGAGAAGGGGAAGATGGAGAAGGGTTTGTAGGAAAGAGCTGCTGACCAGGAGACCTGGGGAGGGGGAGTCTGGAGGTGGCACTTAGATCAGAGTGGCACTCTGAGAAATCCGGGAGGATGCCGGCCTCTCAGGAATGTCCAGCCTTTCTGGAAAGTGTGAGACTCCTGTGCAGAGCTCAGCAGTCCCAGATGTGGCTGACTGGGGCATTCCCAAGCAGTCTTGAGGGCACAGAGAGTTCCTAGTTGGACCTCATTTTGCTCTGAGGTACTCATCTTGTTGGGACTGGCAATGTGTTGAGGGCTGAGCTGCTGCGCAGCCGCTGGGAAGTGGTTAGAGACAGAGGAAGGGGTAGCTGGTAGAGTTTCATAGAGTAGGCATGTAATGTGTGAAAAGGGTGTTGGAGAAGAAACTCTGACCTATTTTATTTTTTTTACAGGGACCTTTAATGTACAATGCTATTACTGTGAAGTCAAAAACACCTTCAATTGCAATAACAAGAAGACATGTGAATATGAGGTTAGACGCTGTATGACAGTCTCCATTCGTAAGTATGTCTTTGACTTTTCGAGTCATTGTGTGAAAATCAGTCTACCTGAGCAACCTTTGGGAAGGAGGGTCCCCACATTCAGCACTACTACTCCCAGTGTGTTCCGTAGTGAGAGCTTGTGCACAGGCAGTTGGTGAGGTTTCTTGATCATCTGCTTGTAGATTTTGTATTTGCAAGGTGGGAGGTTGATCTACACACCATTGCTCTCTCCACTGGGTGGAAATATTGCTAGACCTCCGGCTTGTGTCTCCAGGGTCAGGTATATAGACAGAATGATGTACTTTGGCTGGTTCTTTGATGCTTATTGAATTTCTGGTTAAGGGTGGGTGAGGGAAGATTCAGGAGGGTAGATCCTAGCTGTGTATTCAACCTGCACATCTCAGAGCAATGCCTGTTACTCAGAGTTGCAAAGACCAGCTAAGGTGGCAGGGCAGAGCTTAAACTCCAAAGTACTCTTGCTTCCTACTCAGAAGCCATTACTGCACACAGAGAGGTGCTCCTCTCGCCAGGAAGCCTTTCTGATGACTCCAGAGACTTCCCTGAACCTGATGATGCATTGCCAGAGGCCCAGTGACTAACCTTCTGGTAGCTCCTATTATTCCCCATGAGTGTTGTACAGTTTCACCATTCTACTATTTTCCGAGTTCTGTTCATAAATAGAAAAGCCCTCTGATTACCGCTTCCTCATTGTACCCAGTGCCATTACCCTGCAGATACCTTGTTGATGGGGACCACATGTAGGGGTGGGAATCTGCTTTGTCCCAGCAGGGGGCCAGTGATGGGGGACTTGGATGGGGTTTGAGCTGTCATTATGGTATTACTGCCCTTGAATAAGCCTGGTAGATATTTGTAAGAGAATGTGCATTCCTGAATTGCACTAGATTATACTTGGCATAGAGGTGACTTTGAGTGATATTTCCAAGGTGAGGAAAGCACAGACCAGGGTTCTTCAAAATCACAGTAGATATACTCAACAGTGTACCCTGCTTATGTTAGTTTTCTGTTACTGTAACCTATACCTATACCTAAAATCATCTGCTGATGGGAAAAAGTGCTTTGTTGAGCTCTCAGTGTTAGAGGTTTGGGTCCACGCTTGGTTAGGCCCATTACTGTAGGCCCGTGGCTGCTCATCATGGCTGATCCCCATAGTGGAGCAAAATCAGTAGCCTGATAGTTCTGGAAGAAATACAGAAATGAACACAAAGCACAGACAAAACAGAGAAACCCAACTCTGGGAAGAAAGAGAGGACTTGGGGCCTTTTGTGGCCTAAACAACTCCCACTAGGCTGAACTTCTTAAGCCTGCACGCTATGTCAGGGGCACTGTGATAGGGAAAACAACCTTTCCACCTTCCAGTCTATATCCAGAGAGGACTCCCGCCTGTCCTCTCTCACCTTCTCCCTCATATCCAACACATCTTCACCAGTGCCGGACCTTTGGACCAACAGAAGTTCCTGAGACCCTAGCAGGCGCTTGGGCCCTGGCTTGCACAGAGATGAGTACATCAAGGAAGCGGCTTAAACACCTGTGCAAGAGAACTCTGGGGAAGAGCCTAATTGTGAGGACAGAAGTGTGTGAAATTTGATACTTGCCTACAACACCTGACTTTTTCATCCTGCTTCAGCAACTGGTGGACCCGGCTCTGATTTCTCTGAGCTTCATGCTCCCTTGCCTTACTGCCCTTTCTCAGTCCTTCACATCATGGTGGAAGCTATAAGAGCTATCTTTCAAAATTCACCTCACATCGTACTAGGGGCTCCATGTTCCTCACAAACACTGGTGGATACTTTGACAGAGAATATATTAGAGCCTTCGGCAAAGGCTTGGGAGTGCTGCTATGCTTAGCCATTTGTGCTTTCAGAATATTTGCTAATTTGAGGGATTATGGATCATGAAAAGCACAAATCACTCTGTGAAATTACTTTGAATGCCATAGGCTGATCTTTCACTCCTAGGCAACAATAGTTGAGGTTTTCACAAAGACACAGAACCACGGAACAGAAGCGAGACCCAGTAATTGTCCAACACAAATATACCCAAAGAGAGTTTTTGACAAAGGTGCAGAATCCATTATAGAAGAAATGGTCATCGATGGCAAGTAAGCAGAAGTACAAAATTTTACTTCTTCAGCCAGCTGTAGTGGTGCACTCCCATCATCCCGGCACTCTCAAGTCTGAGGCAGGTGGGTTGCTGTGCATTGGAGGCCAGCCAGGACTACATAGTAAGTTCAAGTCCCATGTGAACTACACAAGGTGACCCTCTTTCAATAAACCAAACGAAACTGAACCAAAGCTAGAACAACAAAAGCCCCCAAAACAAAACACCAACTTAGTCATTAGGATAGGACCAATGAAAATGAATAGATGCCACCAATCAGAATGACCAAATTTTTTTTTTTTTAAATAGGGACCACACCACAGAGAAACCAGATCACTCACACATTGCTCACAGGACTGAAAAGTGATTCAGCCAGAATGGAGAATAGGGTGATGGCTTCTCTAAAATAGTTAAGCTACAACTGCTATACACCACAAAATCAAACTGCAACATTTTTCACAGAGAAGGGAAACTTTATGTACAAACGTGTATATGGCTGCTCACAGCAATTGTGTCTAGAAATATTCCAGATGACCTGACATGCTGAATAGGTTAACCATTCGTTACTCCTAAACAAACCATACACACAGTAACTGCAATCAACATCTGGGGATCTGTGGCAAGTAGGAAAAGTCAATCTCCATGGTGGTGGTTCCATTACAATAACGTTTTAGAGAAGATGTAGACATGAACATCAGTTGAGTCTCACATAGTGAGAGGATGGAGGACAGGGGAGGTGAGTAGAAGAGACAACTGTATCCATATGATGGACACCTGTGGACATCACACTGTTTTACATCTGTCTTTTCTCAGGATCAGTTCCCTCTGAGTGCCACTGTACTGTACTTGGGACTAGTTACCATTAGGAGTAACGGTACAAAGGGTACACAGCAACTCTACATTCTTTCTTACAGCTCTATTTGAATATACAGTAGTTTCAGTTCGAAGCATTGAGGAAAAAAAAAGTGAAGGCCCAACATGACAAGAATCAGGTTAGCATTTGAATAGGCAGAATTTGCAGCCCGGGATGTTCTAGGTGAGCAAGAAACAATATATTCTGTTTGTTAGGAATAAACTTCTAAAAATCAGTGCACAGGTAGTTTGAAAATAAAAGACAGAAGATAGTATATTTAGCAATTGTGCAAAGAGAACCCTTACATGCACTCCGGCAAAGTAAATGTTAAGGGAACGGCCTTACTGGTGTGAAGGGCACTATTTGTGGAGACAGAGATAAACCTACCCAGAATATGTCACAGTCTAAATGTGTGCACACCAAGTAGCATGGGATAAAGATCCATGCAGAAACAAACATTCATAATTTAAGAAATGCAGAGAAATACACAGTTACCATTCTGCACAGTTTCTAAATGCTACTGCAAGGAGACAAAATGTGTTATGGCTATAGATCAGGGTCTCATGAAGGTTTTCTGTTCAAGACAAGAGGTGGTTTTAGCTACGTGGGCTTTGTAACAACCACACATCTCTTTCTCTGTGGGGATGGAAGCAACGATAGATGATGAGTAAACACTGTTGTTATGTTCCAGGAAGGATTTATTGACAGATGGATTTGTCCCATGGTTTCTATATGCCAGATTGTGCTGTAGAAGGTCTGAAGAACACCACGAGCACTGAATGATGGACAAGCCAGAAATTGCCAAATGCCCCTGCAGAGTAAGGGTACACAGTATGCTTACAAAATCAGTGACAGGAGAGCATACGAGCATGAGCAAAGGGCCACTGATGTGTCAGTAACTGATGAGAAGTCACAGCACGAATGAGGAAGTATTGAGGTTGGCATATTTGAAGGATGTGCAAGAATGAGTGGAAAAGTTATGAGAGAATACACAGTGTCAACTACATGGCACGTCAAGCACACATGTGAGGGCAAGGAGAAAGGAATGTCTGGGCTCTGTTCAAGGGACCAGAAAAAAAATAATGGAAGATCCACTTAAGAAATGGAGAGTGAAATGTAAAAGTTTTGCAGAAACCTTGAAAGAGGAAAGACGATACTGAGTCACTGATGTCAATAGTTGTTTGTTTGGAAAAGATTCGTAAAATTAGTAAAACATGGTAAGAGAATCAATGACAGAGAAACTCCACACGTCCACCACTGTAGATACAAAGCAAGATCATCATCAGACCTCACACACCTTAGGGATAAACAAACTACTGCGGGTATCCCTCCTGTGATACACAAGCAATTTTTGTCGAAATAACAAAATGTAGACAAGTACCATTATATTTCACCTAGCATGAGCTTTTGGAGCTGAAGGGTCTTGTTGATAAAGTTGAATCTTTTCTGGAGAACCTCCCCAGAAAGAAATGTATGCAGGCCCAAATTGCCTTGCTGGCATCTTCTCCATGAAGTTGTATGTCATTCTTACCCTGGAGCCTTGCTAATCTCTGTATCATTCCCATTTTAGGAGATGTGCTGCCCAAACAAATACAATCTTCAAATGCCATATGGATCGAAGCACCCAAACCTTACACACCCTCTTCCAGATATCAGAAGATATCTGAAGGGAGGAATTGCACTCAGCACACATACGATATAGCAGCTTAAGCCTGACACCCATCCCAGAAGAGACATTGGAACAGAAAGAAATTGTACAGGGACCATTTTCTCTATGACGGCCAATGCAAACAACCTAACACAACACTAAACATAAAATGTTGTGCACGTGTGTGTGCATGCATGTGTGTGCACACTTGTATGTGTCTTTGTGTGTATACATACATCCAGTGCCATGCACTGGATTGGGGAATGGGAAAAGAACAGCAAAGACAAGTGGGTGAAGCTGAATAACACAGAGTTCGGGCAGTAGGAATTTATCACTTTTTGTTCACTGGGGCAAAAATGTTCCACAGTAATGTAAATATGAGACAAGAGAGAATGAGGTTAAGGTTTTAAAATCTCTCTTTGCCATTTAAAAAAAAATTCTAAAGCTCTTTTAAGTTAAAATTACTTACACACACACACACACACACAGAAACACACACATGCACCATGCCCACTAACAGAGAGACTAAAATAAGCTTGAATTTACCCTTGAAGGCCACTGGCTTCATTCACCATATTTGAAAATAACAGAAGAAATATTTCATATATGTGATTGCGAGTGCTGAAACTTGGAAAAATGTCCAATACGCTTTCCAAATTTTGTTCAGAAAAAAAGTCAGGAGGAAAGAGAAACAAATGATGTCTTCAATGAATGACATTATTGAAATGATAATGGCTAAAATATTTTAACCTTGAATTTAAAAATGAAGCGATATGCCTTTTAACATAGATTCTCCTATTAGTGAAACTCGGCCGCTGAGTTCCTTTCAGTCTGAAGAATTAAAATACAGTGGGATTGGAAAGAGAAATTAACCTGGTACTCTCCCCTAAAGACAATAAACCTTTCCAGTCATGAGTGACTTTACCACAAACTGCCTACAAGATAAGTGTTGAACTATCCATTTAAAACCACAGATTTCTCCCATACATCAAGAAACAATCCTAAATACAATTCATGACATCATACCTTCTTTAAAAGTATCCAAATATCAGTACCTGGAAAGACTTCTAAATAGATCTGTTCAAGGTATCAACACTGAAATTGTGAAAATCTTGCCAAGACCGAAACACCCAGAAAGACATCCCATGCATATGCACCATGACATACAAAAGAGGCATAGATATACCTTGTTGGACTTGATCTACGGGTCAAGAGAATCCCTGTCAGAGTCCTTGGCAGGTGTGTGTGTTGTGTTTGTGTGTGTGTGTGTGTGTGTGTGTGTGTTCTCTTGTGTGTGTCTGTGTAAATGTTTTCAGAAGGGGATTCCAAATGCTTATTGCAGTATCAATGGGGAGGATTAGAAAATGCAATCTCTGAGGGGAAAGGAAACACCTGAAGGACATATTCTCTGAATGCTCCAGACTGAATAGTTTCTGTAATGAGGACAGTACAGTATAGTGTCTGTGCCTAGATTGGAAGGTAGAATAGGTGCATGAAGTTACTTGACTTCTGACTGCAGTGATCTTGTAGTACAGTGGGGGAAAAATACTATTGGCATTAAGTAGTGATGGCTAAATCAAGAGCTGGGTGGGTTAAGGGGAAAAAATGAGAACCAAGACCTGGCATGTCAAGGTACAAGATCCCAGTAATGAATGTAACTGTACTGTCTACCTAGAATGTACCAATAAATTCAATTTAAGAGAGAAAAAAAGAGCTGGGGATTTAGCACAGTGGTTCTGCTGCCTGCCTCCAAAGTGCAAGTTCCCGAGTTCAATCCCTGGTACCAAAATAATAAGTAAACAAATTGAGTACTTACAGAATGTGCACCATAAGTATGAATTTCAGACAGTTTAAAATCTGCATGTAAACACTGGACTAATAGGCTTTTAGAGAAAAATGTAGAAAAGTTTATTTGTGTGTTTTCTTTAGTTCGGAATTTAAAAACTGATGAGAGCTAGCCATATAATAATGCAAATGATAAATTGAATTGTATGAAATTTTGCAACCTCAGCTCCAAATAAGATCCTATAAAACAGGGGAGCCACAGATGAAGAGAAAGCATTTCAAAGTATGTGTGTTTTAGAGAAGTCATACTCATAACATATACCAAGCCTTTTTCCTACAAATCTATAAGTGAAAAGCAGAACACCCAGTAGAAGGTTGAACAAACGACTTAAAGAAAATGTATTAGAAAATGATAGGTAAGTGGGTATGAAACTCAGGAGAAGTTGCCCAGGGTCATTCTGCTTGTGGGAAATGCAAGTGAAACCACCACATGAGCACATTTCAAGGAATTACTAAGAATCCAAAACAACTATGTGAAGGTGTTGTCCAGAGTTTTAAGTATACATGATGTTTTGGAGTAGGATATGTCCGACCTGGTCTGCAAAGCTCTGCAATAAGATTGGCTAAATCGGTACATAAACAAATCAAAGTCTCACCATTTCTACGCCTATCTCAAGATAAGTCCAGGAATATTCACCAAAGGAATGTTTGGCATAAGTAAAAAGCAATGCCACTTTTCACGTACTCCAACAATACATTTTGGTGTATTCATCAAAGAATAGCATACAATTATGCAAATGAGTGATACACAATAATAGGCTACAATAGGGATGAATTTCCTAAAAAAATAAAAAGCAAAGAAGCCATCTACAATAAAAAGCCTGAAGTATGATTTCTTCTGCAAAAAGTTAAAAACCAGGCAAAATTAATAATACATGTGCTTAGATCCACGGGCTAATCTTTGTCTCAGGCTGCTTAAATGTGAATGGGAGAACAGAATGAAGGATCTGCGAGTATCATGCAGGTGTGTCTTAGGGCTGGATGCTGATTGCAGTATTGGGTACACTTTGTAAAAACCCCTTGAGCTGACTTATGATCGTACACTTCGATAGAAGGTGAAACTTAAATAAATAAACTCTTTACCTGGAAAATAAAAGAATTGACTGGTGCTTAGTGAAAATGTTCCCCCAAAGTCTCTTGTATTCAGAAATGGGGCTTTTAAAAGGTGATTGGGTTGTGCAGATGCTATACTCACCAGTGGATTAATCCTTTGATGAGTGTGTGGCCAAAAGTGCTGGTGGGAGGTGGGGGCCAGGAAGGTAGGTGCGAAGGGAGGTAAGTCACTAAGGCATCTGGAAGCATGTATTTGTTTCTCCAGTGCCTCCCTTCTTGCTGTTTCTGGTTGTCATGAGGGAAGTAGGTTTCTGCTGCCTCATCCTCCTCCCATGCCATTTCTGCCTTATAGCCATTCCAACCATAGTAATGAAATCACTAAAACTGTGAGCCAAAAGAAAAGTCTAGTCCTTTAAGTTGCAGACATTGGGTATTGTGTTTCAGTGATGGCAAAGTGACTAATACAGAGGGCTAGGAAGGAGGTTGTCCTCGAGGGGTTTTAACAGCTACAGGAGAGCAGCCAAAGGGCACATTACTGTGGGCACTCCTGTTCCACATAAGGGATCTCTCATCTCTGGACTGAAATGCAAGTTAATTTCTAGTCTTCATTTCATTTCTAGAACTCCAGAGTCCTTAAGACAATATAATGAACTCCACACTTCAGTTGTATAGCTTCATAACAAGGTACCAAGGTACCATTCTGGAATGGCTAGTGGCAGACTTAAAGATGGCTGCATGGATAAAAACATATCTTTAGAAGTCACTCTGGAGCAGTCACATCATCTTGTGGACCTGGACGTACTCCCCAGTCAATGGTTCTCGGCAATGCACTTTTGTAGCATGTGGCCATGCAGAATGTATGCGTGGAACTAGCTTTGGATGAGTGTGCTGTGTTGTTTACAATTAGAACATGTGAAATCAGTAACTTTCACGGTCCCTTTTTAGGTGTGAGCCCTCGTGAAATACTTGTTTACAAGGACTGTGCGTGGAACTGCACGTTTGTATATACATCCCTCCAGCCTGGTGAAACTCCAAGAAGCGTCAGAACTGGGAAAACTAATAGTTTCTATTTTACTCATTGTTGTAATGGCATGGTTTGTAATGTAGGAGGACCCACTAATTTGGAGAGAGACATATTAGATGACCCTGTAATTGAGAATGATCTACTAGATGGGACTGAATGTTTGATAACATCAGCATTCTTCCTGATTTTTGCCTCCACCATAGCCAGCAATACACTGACATGAGAAGCCCTCCTTGGAGGTGTCTGTTAGCCTTCCCTTTTCCTCAGATAAGTTTTGCTCTCCGTTGTCCCCCTGAGACATTGCCAAGCTCCCAGTTGGCCCATTTCTTGTTCTTTGTAAGTGCAAAATAAAATCATTGTTGAAAACTTTCATGATCAGTTGTTTACTTCCATGTACTCGGGCAATCACATTGGCGTTTCTCTTCTTTCCTTTACTGTACACTGTCGAGTTACCTTGTGCTTTCATTACTTGAACTGCCTTTTCTCTTTTAGATGCTGTGAGATGAATATTCATTGTGCAAATAGTCAAAATTATCTTGCTGCATTAGCATTCAGAGATTATTTTGATCAAATGGCGTGATGGCTATGGCTCAGGCTGGTCGTTCAATCCCTGGTATCAAAAAAAAAAAAAAAATGACTGCGGCACTAGTCTCCATTGGGCTTGATATCATGAGGTCCCAGCTCCCTCCGTCCAAGGGCACCTGGGGCCTCCCAAGGCTGTGTCCTTTCCAATTCTCAAATCCAGCTGAAGGAAGCAGGGAAAGTACCTGGCAGTGAACGACCCCTGGTTCAGCCCTGACATCGGTTCCCTTGTCCTGTACGCTGAGGCCTTGGAAAAGTTCTGCAGCAGCTGCAGCTGTCCATCCAGTGACACCTTCCTTCCGGGAAGGGACAGAATGTTTCCCTGGCGCGACCACAGGAAGAAGCCCCCGTTTATTTGGTGTGAGTTGTTTGGGGCCCTGAGATATTTAGGCTGTTTTTCTGGGTGGCTGGGCCATGGTACGTATCCGCCAGGAGGGCAAGGCTTTCCTCGGACTTATTATCTCACTTTTTAATTCTAGCCATTCAGATGGGTGTGAGGTGGCTTCTCATGAGGGTTTTGGTGGGCACTTCCCTTACACCGCATGATGCTGATTATCTTGGCAGATGCTGTTGTCCTTCTGTTAACCTTACTCAAATCATTTGCTTATTTTAAAATTGGCTTCTCTTTTTATTACATAAAAAATGAATTAATTTTATATACTGTTGATATATATCTTTCACCAGATAATCTATTCGCACATTTTCATTATGCCGGTTGTCTTTTCACCTTCTTGAGATTGTCCTTTGAAGCACAATTGTTTTTAAATTTATTGAAGTCCAAATAATTTATTTTGCTCATTTACTTTGCCACATCCGGGGTCTTGAAGGATTACCTGTACTATCTCATAGCTGCTGTACTTTGTCTGATCTTGTGTTCAGATTTCTGACTCATGATGAGTTAATTTTCACATACGCTATGAGGTAAAGGTGCAACGTCATTCTTTTCCCTAGAGGTATAATGAGTTTCCACGTCATTTCTCTTAACGCCCGTTTTATGCTT